GATCTTCCCCTCCCTCCCAGGTTTAAAAGCCTGGCAGGGAGGGGGAGACTCCGAGCGGCCGCGGCGCGGGCGCCGCTCCTCCCCCTCCCTCCCAGGCTCTCAAGCCTGGGAGGGAGGGGGAGCAGCGGCGCGAGAAACAGCTGTTTCGCGCGCCGCGGCCGCTCGGGATCTCTCCTCCTTCCCAGGCAGCAGCAGCGGAGGTTAGCTAGGGCGGCCCGCGGCACATTTTTAGGGGCGGCATTCTGGCGCCGGCCATGCCGCCCCTAAAAATGTGCCGCTCCAAGCACCAGCTTGTTTGGCTGGTGCCTAGAGCCGGCCCTGATTATCTATTAAATAAGAAACAGCTACAGAATTCACCCAAGATCTACTGCAATCACATTCTGGGATCTGGAAGACAATATGTTCCAATGGATACAAAATGGGACTGGAAGTCAGGAGGACTGCAGGGGTTTTCCTGGTAGTATGTAACCTTGGGCAAGTCACGTTAGCCAAACTTTTCCGAAGTGCACCTCGTTATGGGAAGCTGCAATCTGAGACATGTATGTGGGGGCCTGATTTTCAGAGATGGAAGAACCCACAATAGCAGTTGATCTCAACTGGATATGTGAGTACTCAGCACCTTGGAAAATCAAGTGTTATATTCAAGTACTGCACAAATGCAATTTAATATAAAATAAAAATGGAGACACCAATAACTTGTGGACACTGAAAATTTGGGCCATAACTTCTTTCCACCTCCTCTCCTCTTGTGTAAATCATTCTTTGTTAAATGCTGTCTAATTTATGATGAAAAATGCTATATAGTTGCTAGGTATTATTCAAATGCACATATGAGATTATTATAAAGTACATTTAGATAACCTATATTAGTAGTTTGGTTTTGAAATGTAGACATAGGGTAAAATATCTGCCACAAAAGTCCCTTTAAGAAGTGTGTTAAATGCCTAATCTGTGTTTTTATGGCCTAATTTCCTGTCCAGGATCAGCCTACAAGAACTCCAAACTGAATGGAACAAAAGTGGCAAAAGCAAAAGCCTTATCTCAAGAAGTTTCTCACTTGCTGAAGTGTATGCTCTAGATCAGGGGTCCCCAATGCAGTGCTCGCGGGCGCCATGGACGAGCATCCGCTGAAATGCCGCCGCCGAGCAGCGTCATCCAGAGGTGTCGCAGCAGAAATGCAGCGGATGACGCTGCTCGTCGGCGGCATTTCGGCAGCGACGCCTATTGACGTTGCCGCTTGTCGGCGGCATTTTGGCAGATGCTCGTCCGCTGCCACGGTCCTCCGTGGCTCTTTGTCTGGTGCCCACCAGACAAAATAGGTTGGGGACCACTGCTCTAGACTGTATATTGTAACATCATAGCCACAACACAGTAATGGCAAAACAATAAGTCCACCAAGCATTAAGTGAGTTCAGCACGAAACCTTTTTTCATACCCACTGAAACAATTTGGTAATATTGGTCCCAGTTCAGCAAGGAACTTAAGCACATGCCTAACATTGCCTTCAATGGGACTATTTATGAGCCCAGTGGTTTTCAAAATTTTTGTATTGGTGACACTTTCACATAGCAAACCTCTGAGTATGACACCCCCCCTTCTACATTAAAAATGAGGAAGGGTAATTTAATTTAATTTAATGAGGGCTCTGGGCTATCAACGCCACAGAACTGACAGCTCGCGATCCCCATGTAACCACCTTGCAACCCCCTGAGAGGTCATGACCCCCAGTTCGAGAACCCCTGAGCTAAAAGTTAGGCATGTGCTTAACTAACTTGCTGAATTGGGACCTCATAGTTGGACTTTTATTTAGATATTAATTGATATTTGAACAGCAAAAATATCAGCATTTTTAAAATGAATCCTTAATTGAAAAGAATACTTTCATATAGCTATACACGTTAAGGTAATCTTTAGGAACTATCCCATTTAATTCGTCCTTCTACATATGGTGTATAGACTCTGGGCCAAATTGTGGGTCCTTTTCCCACTTTTGTCCCCAAACAAGTGCAAAGTACAAGTGTGAAAATGTGCAGAATCTGGTCATGTGTGGTCTTCTGCATTGACACCCACGCACATTGCTTGTACCAGGAGCATAAATAATCTGAACTGGGAAGGGCACACAGTGTCCACGGGCAGATTGAAGTGACCATGCCAAAACACATGGACCATATCGCAGGACCATTTTGCCCTACCCTGAAATGGACCTCCATGATTTAATACATGGAAGACACTGCAGGTTCTGTGGAGTGTAAACTGATCGGGTTTGAGAGGAGCCAGGACTGAGGTGTAACTATATTTATGGGGTTAAAATGTCCAGGAAAAGAAAATCTTTTAAGAGAGTAATTTTCTTGTAGACAGAATGTGTCTCTAATCAACATGACCTGCTGCCTATTACACACATCCACAATACAGATGCATTATTGCAATAGCAGAATTAAATGAATGCTTAAGATATTAGTACTGTGTAACTTTAAAAAACCCCACCCTCTTTACATTTAAAGACATTTCCCTGTGGTTATGTTCCTTCTTCTGATTTTTTGAAGCAATATTTGTCTATATGATGAAACACATTGAAGACATTAAATTAAGGGTCAAATTCTGGCAGGAAGAAAATTGTGATGCCATTAAAAGGCCATTAAGGAACCCCCTATGGAATGTTAAACTCTAAAGGCTCTATTCAGAAAGCAAAGCCAAAAGTAAAAAGGTGTCTGGTTGCAGATCCTCTGCAGACGTCCACTGCTTGACTACAGTACCATGGAGACTGTTAGGCAGGAGCTGAAAGTCTTTCCCAGTCATGCATGTGGTATTTTGAATCATGGCATTGGCAAAAGCCCCTTTTATACGGGCATACATAGAAGTGTCTGCACTGCACTACATAATATGCATCTAATGGAACTGAGCACATACTTATTGAAACAATGGCAACAATGGAGGTAGAAAGTTCTCCAAAGCTAAGTAATAACTCTGGCTTTAAGTATATCTGTGTATTTTGCCATGTTCTCTATATCTCATATTTAGAGAGAGAAGCAGGGTTGCTGCCTCTGACAGTCAAGTCGAAATCCTCAGGCCCCACTTCTTAAAATAAATTAATTACTGGCCATAGTACGTTTGCAAATATAGGGCCAGATCCTCAGCTGGTGTAAACTGGTGTAGTTCCATTTAAGTCAATCATATTTTCAGAGCAAAATCAATTAAGGAACCAGAAGCAGGGTCTTTTGGTACTAGCTGCCAAGCTTCCCAGATGACTGCTCAGCCCTTACAATAAAGTCTCTCTCTCTCTCATCTGCAATTTGAATGCTAACAAAAATATTAGTGGCGGTGGTATAATAATGTAGGCAAATTCTGATTGTTTTTCTAGGAATTCCCCTGATGACTGCAGCGTGGCAAAAGGAGGGAAGATGGTCAGTGGCTCAGATAATGTCGGGATGAACTATGGAAGCTATATGGAAGAGAAACATGTTCCACCACCAAATATGACAACTAATGAACGAAGAGTGATTGTTCCAGCAGGTTAGAAGCTTTAAAAGAACCCCCCCACACACACCCTTTTAAGTAGCAAAATCTGTTACTGATATTACTAGGAAATCTGTTAACCTGATAAGATTGAAAGATTACCCATTTTTTTTATTAAACTAGATATGCTACATGTAAAAGACAAAGACAGTCTGATAAGAGAGATTAGGAAGAAAGACTACTAAACTCCCAGAATTGTTACGAAGAATGAGTTGAGAAATATAAAAATAAAGCCACCTCATCAGCCAATGCTGCCCACATTTTGGAGGTTTCAGATGCCTGCTGCCCAGGGAGTTTTCCCTAGCAGCCACTTGCTCTCCCCCAACCATAGAGGCTACAACTGTCACTGACTCTTGTGCAGAGTACACAAGAGGAAGAAATGTTCCTTGCACAATTTCACCTCCCTGCAAGTGACAGACGCAGTCTGGTCCTAAGCATAATAAAAAGAGGCCCAATTTGTGAAATTAAGCAATGTATAATAATCCATTTGTTTAGATTATTCTCTGTGTTTGAGCAGTGTAATAAATTTTAATAAGCAAACTGACAACTCCCTGTAAGACAATGGCGCGGCTGATACATTCAGTAGCTGGTAGCAACCTTTATTATGGAATTCAGAAGGTAATTGGACAAGGGGGCATTCACTACTTTGTGCCCTGTCTTCTTTGGGTACCTCAGGTGCTGTGAATACGCTTCATATTGCAGAATGATCAGCATGCACACGCCCAAACTCAAAACAACAGACAATCATGTTGCAATATAAATATATACACAGGACATCTAAATCATGTAGACAGAAGAGTATAATTTGCTATTAGTTATTGATCTGCAAAAATGACTTTGTATGAAACGTTCCTGCTGCTGCCACATTGCATAATGTTTTTACAGTTATTCAGTTGCTAAGCTCTGCAAGAGTACTAGCTGTGGCTAATTTTGCAAGCTGTAATTACATCGGTTATTTGTCAAGCAACATACACACACACACACACACACATATATATACACACACACACACACACACATTGCACAATCCTCCACATGTATTTAGACAAGGCTTTTTCTAAACTGTAGCAAAGAGATTTTTTCAGTGATAAAGTCTTCTGCAAAATTGGAAACAAGCAGCACTGAACATGATAGCATTCATATGTAACTTTGCAAAATGAACACTTCTCTCAATGTTAGCTCTTGACTTTTCCGATCTTTTAATTACCATAGGCTTGTAAAGGTGATACAGATGTCTTTCCTTCTAGCATCTCCCTTGAGATATATTTTGAGATGAATCTAAATGTGAACTAGGGAGCAAGATGATCATAGTTACAACCAGTTATTTTGTAAACTATACAAAAAATACTTGGGTGAAGCTCGTCTGTCAGACATCTAGGTGTTTTCATTTCTCTTCCACAAGTGCAGTGTACACGATGATGTGGCAAAGCTTAGGAAAATCAGAACACAGGATTTATAATTTGCAGTTAAATTAATGACAGAGTTCAGAACTCCTATTCAGATTCATCACCAAAAATAAGAAGCATTTCAAAAATTTGTACATATAATAAAATGGTTGGCGAACCTCCGAAGGTTTGGATGTTCACTTCAATTTAAACTGAATTTAACTGGTGGACTTCTTGTGTTATCCCAGTCAGGACTGGGCAACCACTGATGCTCTCATAATGAACTCTAGTTCTAGCTCCCCACATCACCCATACATCCTTTCTTCTCTCAGTAACCAGACCCCCTATCCATGAAGATCATCAAGGTCCCTCAGACTAGCATCCATGCCCACTAGGCTGTGAGCTGCCTCACACTTCCCAATAATCTGATCATTCTGTCTCTGGTGTGCTTCAAAATATAGGAGGGATCTCTAAAGTTCCCGAGAGCTAAGGGCTCAGACCTTCAAAGGCTTAAAATGGATGTAGCATAACTAAACGGGAAGCCCAGGATGCATGGAAGTTGAAGTGAGCAGCTGCATATTGTCTAAAAGACTTTGATGAGCACCGTAGACCTTTGAGAATGGCTTTGGGGAGCAGATTGGGTTAAAACTGATTAGGAGAGGAAGGGAGGTTTTGAGATTCAGACACTCACTGCACAGACATGCAGAAGGTCAAAGTTCAATTCCCAGCTCTGCCATGGGATTCCTGTGTGACCTTGGGCAAGTCACATAATCTCTTTCTTTTCAGTTCCCAATCTTTGGGAACGATGTATCTTATATGATCTTTTGTCTGTTTAAAATATAAGATCTTCAAGGCAAGAATTGTCTCTTACTATCTGTATGTAGAGTGCATGGCTTGATGGAGCCAAATATTGGTAGAGGCCTCTAGACACTAAGGCTACGTCTTCACTACAGGGGGGGGTCGATTTAAGATACGCAAATTCAGCTACGCGAATAGCGTAGCTGAATTCGACGTATCGCAGCCGACTTACCCCGCCGTAGGGACGGTGGCAAAATTGACCTCTGCGGCTTCCTGTCGACGGCGCTTACTCCCACCTTCGCTGGTGGAGTAAGAGCGTCGATTCGGGGATCGATTGTCGCGTCCCAACGGGACGCGATAAATCGATCCCCGAGAAGTCGATTTCTACCCGCCGATTCAGGCGGGTAGTGTAGACCTAACCTATTATTATACAAAGAAATAAATGGGAGAGAGGTCAAGGGCTAAATTCATAGGACTCAGTGGGATGGTAGTGGAAAGAGGGAATTCAGAGGGAAAAGTGATGGTAGAGTTGGAGTTAGGGATTAGAACTGTGTGAATAACTGATTTTTTGTTCAGTTGATGAACTGAAAAATTGGAGGAAAAAATCCTTTCATGTCAACCCAAACCAAAAGTTTAGAAAATTTTTGGGGAATCCAAAAAGTCGAAAGAGATTCATTCTGGTTCATACTAAATATTTTGTTCACCCCAAAGCAACATGTTTTTTTCTGTATATTGATTTTTTTATTTTTTTTTAATTATGTAGATCTAATTGAAGTAACATTCAAAATGAAAAGTTTCTCAAATCAAAAAGTCAGTGTTTCAATATTTTTGGGAATTTTATTTTTTGAGAGTTTTTTTCAACTGAAACAATTTCGTGAATTCAACACAAATTTGCAAAATGTTTCAGTCAACATGAATTTGCAGTTTTTAGTGAAAAAACTTTAGTCCACAAATTTTGCTCAGCTCTTAAAAAAATAATAATAATAAAAAAAGTGGTGCGGGGAGGGGCAGGAGAGGAATGGGCAAAGATTTGGACCAGTTCATTTTTTCCCCACAGCCAGTTTTGTCAGTATCTGATATAATTAACAAAAACTAGTGCAAGGCAGGATCTGGTTAGCAGCATACAGCAGTACATCACAACATCCTAGGATAGGGCCAGATTAATGAGATTGCAGGCCCAGGGGTAATGTTTTTCAGAAGCCCCCTTTTCGTGAACCCTGTATTAATTAAAACAAAAGCATACCCAGCTTGTGGCAATCAACAAGTCATGTATATTATTGAATAAACTTGAAAAGAAAATTGAAGACAATGAACAGGTTACATACTGCCTGGATGAACATAAAAATATAAAACTTTGAGTCAAATGAAATGTTGTAGATTTAAACTGGCATCTTTACATGATTCAAATTCAGTTTAGACTCCTCAAATGACAGTAAATGTAGTAAATCCCATTCAGCTGACATGATTGCAAGAGCATTAAGCTTTGTTTCTACCATAGCTGACCAAAGACAACTTTTTATTCAGACAAAGCTTAGAAAACAATTGCTCTGCTTCACAGCTGGCAATGGGTACATTCAAATACAGTCTCAATGCAATGAAAATATTCGGGAAGACATTACTCAGATCTTTGTCATGAAAAAAATTGATGATTTCAGGAGCACTCTTATCCTGCATGTCACAATATATTATAAATGCTGAAAACTGATACATTTTGACAAAAGCTCAGGCTCTAGATCATGAAAGTAAAGGTTGAGCAACCAGCAAGTGCATGTTTTCTTCTCCTCTTCACTTTGTATTTTTAAGGTTAGGAAATGAAGTATGCTCTATCTACCTGAATCTATGCTAACTTATTAAATAATAGGCAAAACCCTGAAGTCCTTACTGAGTCTTCACTTAGAAAAAACTGGTCTTGACTTCACTGAGCGTTTTGCTTGAGTAAAGAATATGAACTTCACCAGAAACCTTTGAAAATGATAGTTACTGGCTTCTGTCCTGCAACAGGTGCTGCGAATGCAAACACCAGTACCCAGTGGTACTCTGCAGATGGACAGGGATTGACATTAGTATGTGAACAATAATGTAGGATAATGATGAGACATAATGGGTGGGGGTCAGAGATGTGGGAGGACAAGTTAGCAGTAAAATGAATATGTAATAAATAATAAACAGCAGTCCTAGCTCACCACTGTACTTTGGACAGCCATTTTTTCTCAGGTCTTCTTCCCCCTAATAGGCCAAATTCATTTTTTGTATAACTACACTGGAATTAGTGCATCATGGATTATCATCGTCCAGTATGACAATAACGTACTTCGTTACTTTAGTATTGGTCCCAGTATAAAAAATGGCGGAGTGCCCCGGGGTTGGTCCTGGGGCTGGTTTTTTTTCAACATCTTCATTAATGATCTGGATGATGGGATGGATTGCATCCTCAGCAAGTTCACGGATGACACTAAGCTGGGGGGAGAGGTAGAAATGCTGGAGGGTAGAGATAGGATCCAGAGTGACCTAGACAAATTGGAGCACTGGGCAAAAAAAAATCTCATGAGGTTCAACAAGGACAAGTGCAGAGTCCTGCACTTAGGATGGAAGAATGCCATGCACTGCTACAGTCTGTGGACCAACTGGCTTAGCATCAGTTCTGCAGAAAAGGACCTGGGGATTACAGTGGACGAGAAGCTGGATATGAGTCAACAGTGTGCCCTTGTTGCCAAGAAGGCTAACAGCATATTGGGTTGCATTAGTAGGAGCATTGCCAGCAGATCAAGGGAAGTGATTATTACCGTCTATTTGGCACTGGTGAAGCCATATCTGGAGTATTTTGTCCAGTTTTGGGGCCCCCACTACAGAAAGGATGTGGAGAGAGTCCAGCGAAGGGCAAGAAAAATGATTAGGGGGCTGGGGCACATGACTTACGAGGAGAGGCTGAGGGAACTGGGCTTATTTAGTCTGCAGAAGAGAAGAATGAGGGGGGGATTTGATAGCAGCCTTCAACTACCTGAAGGGAGGTTCCAAAGAAGATGGAGCTAGGCTGTTCTCAGTGGTGGCAGATGACAGAACAAGAAGCAATGGTCTCAAGTTGCAATGGGGGAGGTCTAGGTTGTATATTAGGAAACACTATTTCACTAGGAGGGTGGTGAAGCACTGGAATGGGTTACCTAGGGAGGTGGTGGAATGTCCATCCTTAGAAGTTTTTAAGGCCCGGCTTGACAAAGCCCTGGCTGGGATGATTTAGTTGGAGTTGGTGCTGCTTTGAGCAGAGGGTTGGACTAGATGACCTCCTGAGGTCTCTTCCAATCCTAATCTTCTATGATTCTATGATTCTAATTTTATGCTTTGTGAAACCATTCAGATCCTACATTATGGAGTACCGACCATGTACGTCAGTGGTTGGAATGGGCCGTGAAGGAATATGGTCTTCCAGACGTTGACATCTTGTTGTTCCAGAACATTGATGGGAAGGAACTGTGTAAAATGACCAAAGATGACTTCCAGAGACTCACCCCAAGCTATAATGCAGATATCCTCCTCTCACACCTACACTACCTCAGAGAGAGTAAGACAATTTCCCTTCTTTATGATGGTTAGAATAAATCTATCAACAGCATTTCCAGTTGTAGTGCCTTTTCAATTTGGGATTTCAAATCTCCCTACCTCAAATGTTACTGCTTCCGAGAATATTATGTAGGGCCTGATCCAAAGCTTATTCAAGTTGATGGAAAGACTCCTATTGACTGGAGTGGGCCTTAGATCGGGCTCATTGTGACTGCTTTCAGAAACGATCTTAAGAATATCTCCAAATGTCCATATTAGGCAAAATTAATTTGAAACCCAGCCCATTCATCCACAATACTGTAGGAAGAAAATCAAAGGGACTTTGGTGATGATGTTTTTTCTGGTCACATACTCATCTTTCCATTTTAGGTATGAGAACCCTAAATGAGAGTAAAAACATTGATTTATAAAGAAAATTCCAGGCATGATTCTATGAACATATGTGGTCTGTTCTATTCTGCATAGGTGCATGTAACTCTCATTGAAATTAATAGGAGTTATGTACATTCATGGAGAAGAGAACAGAATCTCCTAAATCTGAAAGCAAAGGATTTGTAGCTGATGGCTAACATTCCAAGGGGGAAGAAGGGAACAGTGAATTAATGATTTGAAGGCTGTAGTCTTTGCATAATTTGCATAATTTAAAACATTAAAATTAGCAAATATGGTTTTAAAAACAAACAAATATTGCAACACCAGTGTGGTGCAGTCTTTTACACACACACACACACACACACACACACACACACACACACACCGACAATCAGACCGAAATATTATGTATTAATAATATTATTTAAATGAATACCCTAGTTTAAGCTTTAACTCACACACCTCCCCCACAAACAGCAGAACTAAACTGATTGTTACTAGACTTGCTTTAAAACAATCCTATCAGGGGGAAAATGTTTTTAGAAGATAATTCTCAATTTTTTTTCATTTTGGTGTTGCTTTTTGTTTTGTTTTGTAGCTCCTCTTCCACATTTGACTTCAGATGATGTTGATAAGGCCTTACAAAACTCTCCACGGTTAATGCATGCTAGAAACACAGGTAATGCTGGCACCGCTCCCATTCCTATAGGTCATCTTCTAAAAGCACAGGATTCCTGTTTGAGTTGCATGCTAAAAAATGGAAATGGTAAATCACCAGGGAGGCAGTGTATTCTCCCCTGATATTTGTGTAAGACTCATATTAGCAGTTATGGGAGTTTTCCACACACACACACTGAACAGAAGTGAGATCATTTAGGACCAGATTCTGCAATTGGATCCCTGTGTGCAAACTCTTGTACCCATGCAGCTGCAAGGGTCCACCCACATGCAACAAACTGCACTTAGTCTCTAAGGCTCTGATCCTATCCTATCAATCCACCTAGGTGAATCCTTTTGCCTGCATGGAGCCCCACTAAAGTCAATGGAGCACTGTACTGGCTCAGGAGCCCACCTGCACAGATCAGCTTGCAGTATTGGTGCCTAAGTCTGGTTTATTTCTCCCATACAGTATACTACATCATGGACCCATGCAGTATACTGTATCACATATTTAAATACTATTTTGTCACAAAAAGAACTGGATAAGCAGGGATTTTACGTTTCCCCATTTTAGAAGACAATACTGACTATTTTGCTGATAGAGTATTTCCGGTTTTAATTTTTTTAATTTAGACTGTACCAACAATAAAATGAAACCTGCTAAATTAAAAGGGTTTTTATAACCCCACAGAATGTAAAAGATGTGTGGGATTTTTTTAAAGCAAAAATCCCTTTATATCATGGTAGGCCATTATCCCCTACTACTACTATGCTTGGGCCTTTTTAAAGTCGGGGGGTGGGAAGAGAATGTATTTTATGGACTGCTTCCTGTCCCCAGGTTTTCATGCTGGCTCCCTGAGTCTTGTTCTGTGCTGACATCCTACTAAGTGCTCATTCTTCTCTCTGTACAATGCTTTATAAATACACACATAACCCTCCATCACATACATTGTCTATAATATGGGGCTTCTCACTAAGTCTCAGCAAAGTTAGATCTTATTTAAATTAAAAAAAAAAGTTACTATTCACCCTTCTATGAGCCACCCTGGAGAAGTAGGAAATGAATATGAAACACTCCTTAAAAGTATATTTCTTCCGCAAAATTATATGATGTTACAAGATTTCACTCAAAATATTTATAAAAAGAAATCAGTGGAAGTTTTGTTTTGTTCTAGCAGTTGCGTAACAGAGGGTGACATGGAATGCTATGTATTATAATTTGTTTAAATACAAGTTTTGAATATCACGTTATCATGCCTGAGGGTATTAGTTACCTACAGTGACCAGAAATAACAACTATTTAAGAAATGGAAAAGCTAATATCAAAAAGAATGTGAAATATTCTGCAATTTTTCTCCTTCACTATCATAATTAGCACTGTTTCCCTGCAAAATTACAGCATAGTTACTCAAACATTAAATGCTCTTTGCTAAGATCAAATGTTTCATATCCAATATATCCTCTTATCTAAGGCTGCTAGGTTTGATCCAAAGTCCATTCAAGTCAGACGGAGCCTCACCATTCACTTTAATGGACTTTGGAACAGCCCTTAAATTTCATTTTAAAAGTAGATGGACTTGAGGGTCTTTTCCATCTCTGTCAGTCACAATCCTAATTTAGCAATGAATTTCCCTGCACAGTTATCCAGTAGTTTCTCAGTGAGTCCCTGTTACCTTTTTCTGTGTAATTGCAATGGTGTTGAGATTTATTAGTTTCTCTGCCCAAAACAAAATAATCTGCATTTACTTCACTGGGATTATTGATACACTACAGCTACATAGATGACATTTATGTCAGCAATATCATACAGTATGTAAGAACAAGAAATAATAATATTTGTTCTGTTTGGTTCTGTTTGTATAAAAATCTGGGGTGGGAACTTCAAAGGAGCCTGAGGGGATTAGTGTCCAACTTTTAAAAGTCACATAATCCCCTTAGATTTCTTTCAGATTTCCAACCATGATAACTATAAATCTGTTACATGGTTAGAGCTATTTAAATTCCTGAAATAGTCAGACATAATTTTCTGCATCAAACTGGTTATTTTTACAATGTTTCACTATAAGAATTAATTCTCTGGGAGACTGATCCAAAGTCCATGGAAGTAAATGAAAAGACTCCTACTGACTTCCATGGGCTTTGGATCAGGCCCTAGGTTATCTGCTGAAAATATCCACAGGTTAGGGAGATGTACACACTAAATAAAGATAAGGCAACATAAATTGCACTTCACAACAGCTATGAAACCTGCTGAAATCTGAGGCCAGTTTTTCTAAATTTAAAAAATATGGACTTAATTCTCTTCTTACTTACCTTGGTTTACACTGAGGTATCTCCACTAATTTGAATGGATTTACACTGATGTAAATGAGACTAGAATCAGGCCCTACAAACCTCACTCTTGGGTGACAAAACATTTATTCATATGCTTCATTTAAATACATTGACCGGCTGAAATACACTTACCACTGACAGCACTGACTGTGGAAAAAACAGTCCTTATGTGTTTTGTGTCCACTTTTTCCTGCAGGGGGTGCAGCTTTTATTTTCCCAAATACTTCAGTTTATCCAGAAGCAACACAAAGAATTACAACCAGGCCAGGTATGAATGATGATCTTTTTATGTGATGTGATCTTGCTCACTCTCACTACCCCTCTGTCTTTCTCCTTCAGATGTCTCCTATAAAATAGCACAGTATATAAATGTTGAGTAATATATATCTATAGGTATATATGGTCCCCGGTGTGGGATGAAGTGGGAGGGAAGAGCAGCTTAATGAGTCTGTTTTTCTATAGTCATCTGTTTTTGAGGCAGTGTGGCCTAGTGGATAGAGCAGTGGGCTGGGACTCAGGAGATCTAGGTTCTGTTTCTAGCACTTTCCATTGGCCTGCTGAGTGATCTTGGGCAAGTCACCTCACCTGTCTGTGCCTCAGTTTTCCCATCTGTAAAATGAGGCTAATGATACTGACCTCCTTTGTGAGGGGCTTTGAGATCTCCTGGAGTAAGTGCTATGTAAGAGTGTGGTATTAGTATGATTATTGGTTTCTTCTCTCTCTGTTTACTGTTTATTTTTGAGACAAAATAACTAGATACAAGGGTATAAAAGCATAAAAACAAACAACAAGAGATTCTTTAAGTATATCAGAAGTGGGAAGCCAATGACAGAACATGTGGGTCTGCTAGATCACCAGGGGTAAAGGGAACAATGAAGGAAGTAAAGAACAATACTGAGAAGTGACAGGATTTCTTCACCACTGAGGATGTTGGGAAGATACCTAGCCTGGACCTTTGCTTTTCCAATAATAAAGAGCAGGTACTAGCAGGGATTGAGGCAACAGAAGAAAGTGCTTAAAAAGCAATAAGTCACCAGGTCCAGGTGGTATATATCCAGGAATACTGAAGGGACTTAAAATTGAAGTGACTGAGCTGCTAGTAAAGATATGCAATCTCTAACTAAAACAGCTAGTACACCAGAGGATTGCAGGATAGCAAATGGTGTATGTATATTTTAAAAATGCTCTAGATAGTAATCCAGGAAATTAATCACCACTAAATCTTGCACTGGTTGAAATGATAGTTAAAAATTAAATAACAAAAAAAAAAAAACCCGTAGAAGTTCATAATATAATAGGGTCTAACTGGCACAATTTCTGCAAGGAAAATCATGCCTCACTTTATTGATATCAATAAAGTATTAGATATAGAAGAACCAGTTGACATAATTCATTTAGACTTTCAAAAGACCTTAAACAAAGCCCCTCACTAGAGGTTACTAAAGAAATTGAGTAGTAATGGGATGAGTGGCAAAATACTGTCATGGATCAAAAACTGGCTAAGACAGAATGCTAAAAATAGGAACAAATGATCAACTCTCATCGTGACAAGAGGTTAACAGTAGGTGCCTCACAGTTCAATTAGGATGACTGATGTTTAATGATCTGGAAAAGGATGGTGACAAAATCTGTGACAAAAGTGAGAAAGCAAAATTTGCAAATGGCACAAAATTATTTAGGTTTGTTAAATCCAGAGAGAACTGTGAGGAACTTCAGTGGGAATTAACCAAGCTAAGTGAATGGGCAATACAATGGCTGATGAAAGTGAATGTTGATAAATGCAATATAATGCACATTGGAGGGGAAAATTTGAACTATTCCTATACTGAGTTTTAGATTAACCTCATTATTTCAGGGAAAAGTACCTGGGCATCATTATGGACTGCTCAATGGAGACCTCTGCTCAGTGTACAACTGCTGTCAAAAAAACTAACAAAATGTTAAGCTGCATAAGGAACAGGGTGGAGAATGATATGGAAAAGATTATTGTGCTACTATATAAATCAAGAGTTCCGCTTCATTTGGAATATTTTGTTCAGTACTGGTCACCCCATCTCCAGAATTATATTTGCAGAATTAGAAGGCATTCAGAGAGAAGTGATGAGAATGGTTAAAACCCTGGAAAAGCTCTCCTATGGTGAGCAATTGGTAAGTCAGGGATTTTTTACCTTAGATAGGAGATGACCAATGAGAAGCAGGGCCAGCTCCAGGTACCAGCCTGGCAAGCAGGTGCTTGGGGCGGCCACTCTGGAGAGGGGCGGCACGTCCAGCTATCCGGCGGCAATTCGGCGGACGGTCCCTCACTCCCGCTTGGAGCGAAGGACCGCCCACCAAATTGGTGCCGCAGATCGCGATCGCAGCTTTTTTTTTTTTTTTTTTGGCTGCTTGGGGCGGCCAAAACCCTGGAGCCGGCCCTGATGAGAGGTACATAATAGAACTATTACAAAATAATGAGCGGTTTAGAAAAGGTGGATTGGGAACTTCTATTTTCCGTGTGTCTCAATACAAGAATGAGAGGACATTCAATGAAATTGAGAGGAAGCAAATTCAAAACTGATAAAAGGAAATACTTTGTCATACAACACATGAGTAGACTTTGGACCTCGTTGTCATGGAATGTTGTTGAAGCACAGAGCTTAGCAAGATTCAAAGAGAGATTGGACATTTATATGGATAACAAGAATATTCAATTAAAGTAGTAATTACAAACACAAATTTATATCAGATATGAAACCTGATGCTTCAGAGCTCTCACTAATCTCTAACTAATAGGGGTAGGAGAAGACTACATTGGGAGGAAGATTAGCTCACATCTGTCTACTGTGTGGAGTCTTCAGTCTTCCTCTGAATAGCTGGAAACAGGATAGCAGGCTAGATGGAACACAGGACTTTGCCAGTATGGCAATTCCTATGTATCTATCCTTAGTGCATACTCCTCTGGATAGTTCATTCATCTTTTTATTTTTTTAATACAGGAGAAACAAATATGATTTCCTTACATAAAATGAAAGTAATTTCTTATATATGTATTTCCTTTCTGTCTGTATTTTTATTAATGATTTGTTGTTTATTCTGTGAATCAAGAATTTTGATAAAGGTATGTTTAAAACATGATAAAATACATTAATGTGATCCCTGAAATAACATATACAAGAGTTATACAATATACAATAAAATTGTATTATGCCCACTGTCATTATGCTCTCTCCTCCCCCATGGTACACCACAGGGCTTGGTCAGAAGGGAAACCACATTGCTTCATGGGAGATGTAGTCTAGCCAGGGAGCCCAGCCCAGAGCAGAGAACTACAGCTCCCAGGAGGCTATGCAACACCAAAGGGAGATGCAGTATAATGTTGAACTGATTCAAAATGAAATGTTTTGGGTCAGTTCAGTCAACCAAAATATTTCAGTTTGGGTCCAGCTGACCTAAAATATAAGATTTCATTTGATTTTTCCCATCAGAAAATCAAAACAATTGAGTAAAATAGAAATTTCCAACAGAAACTCTTGATGTTTCAGAAATTGTATTTTCTGTTGAAAAATCACTTCAGCAGAAAATTCCTGATAACTCTAGTTTTCAGACAAGGTCCAAATCTTAAGTAGAATGGGGACAGCCTAACTTTTACAGAGAAGCTATTCCATAACTAAATGCCCTTTTGCTAATAACAGGAGTAGATGTGATTGTCCTCGAGGCAGTCATTGATTACAAGTAAAAAGAAAAAGAGGCATAGAGGATGCTAAAGTAAAAATGCATCAGCCAAACATTGGGAAGCAATTCCAGAGAGTGAATCAAAATTAAACAATTACCATTGTTAAATGAATATAATGGAGAATAGGAAGTGAGTGAGGTTCCTGAAGAATTAGAATGACAAAGTCATATTTCTTCAGCTGTCCTGGTAATAGAATACCAGGAATTTTTTGCAAGTTAAAAGTGATACACTGTAGTAGCTCAGGAAGGACTAATATGGGATTACCTAAATGTCTCATCAAACCAGAGTGAATTACAAGATCTGTTCTAGTTAAGGACATAATGTTCCCATTTCTCATGAGTAAAAACAGACCTGCTTATCTATGATAGCAATATGTTTAACAAAATACAAATCATTGTTCAAATAATCTCCCAGATCCTGAACTAAGAATGAAGTCTTAATTTTGATGCTGTTTCAAGTAGGCCTGAGAGCTGGATCTTTCCTTTAAAAGAGGGTGTAGTCACACAACCATATGAGGATGTGTTTTGCCTCTTGACTCAAGAGTTTTCTCACAGTACTAAATTTATACTATTTAATGAATTTCAGGTATGTGGTATTTTAAAAATAAAATCCTAACAACTAGCACTTCTATGCAGATGCACAAGTGCCATGCAACTTCCCTTTATATACAGTTACACAAGAGTTTACAATCTGAGGTCCCCCCCACCCATCCCTCTCAAGAAAGCAAACAAAGAATGGGAAGGAGGGCAGACTGGCTGGTGACAGGCACATATCTCATTAGTTTCATGTTTTTCCCCTTTCCTACCTTCTTTGTGGGAGAGTGAAGGATTAGGAAAAATTGGAACTATCTACACGTGTACCTGACAACACCCTTTCCCCCCTTTGCTTGTATATTTTGTCCTACTCCCCATCCCTTTGGGCTAGATTCTTGGCCCAGCTCAAGATGTTGCACACACTGGTCACATACCCCTGGCTGGGAATACCACCAGCATGGAAGGGTTCTCAGCAGGTGCAGCATAGCCAGCTTGTGCACCTCCCACGATGCTTCCTGGTGCACAGGGCTTGTAGGTGGAGGATATAGGTATGACAAGGCTGGCAGGAGCAAGCAAAGGGGAGTGGATGAAGTAGGTGGCACTCTGACAGTCCTCAGCTGGCTTATGATCCATTGTGGATCATAGCCACCTAGCACTTGTTTAGAGTAGCCCCCAGGCTGCTCTAATCTTCATCCAGAGCTGGGCAGAGGATCAGGATCAGCTCCCTGACAGCACCCCCTCCGTTTCCGCTGTGTGCAGTAGTAGCTGGACACAGCACACAATTTGAAACTTTGTCTGTTTTCGTTTTCCTTTTGGATGGTAAGTTCTCCAGGGAGAAGACTATCTCTAACTATATGCTTTAATGGTATTGAGCACAATTGGATCCCAATTTGATTGGGGCTCCTGAGTGCGACTATACCGTACTAATTATAATAGTACTGTATACAGGTACTCAGATCAGGGATAAATACCTATACAGTTAGCACTATTTTCTCCAATTCTCCATGTTTCCACAAGAGAAGAATGTGGTATAAAAGTAGAAAAATCAAGGATAACAAGGCACAGTTACTTAAAATATAATACAGAACAAAAAGTGTATATCTCAGCAAAACCGAAATTTTGAGAGTGTAAGATTCCATCAGACCACAGTGATGGCAGTGCCAGTTATACACTCAAGCCAAACAGACTAAATAAATTAAAGGCAATTTGGTTGTGAGTTACACATTACACTTTGTTTCCATTCAATTCTCTCTCTAGTAGTGTCTGAGAATGGGCAGATATACAAAAGCCACACTCAGAGTCAAACTGCCTTCTCAGCTGGTTCACTACTTCCTACCTGATTTCATTTTTAAAGACTGTCAAACAACCTTTCTAAAAGAAAGCTAAGACACTATTAAGAATCTGCCATCCATCCAAAGGAGTCTATGCTCCTACCTTAATACAGCACTGATTTGGCAATAGGTGTATTTTATTTCCTTTCTTGAGCTCTCAACGCAGGCCCAAAGTTAGTATATTGTATATATTATAGCTACTGGAGCAGAGCAAAAAGAGGCTCCATATGGCCCAAACTAAGGTTGAAATTAATGAAAGGGGAGGGCAAGGAACCACACAGCTCCCCCCAAGCTAGCCAATGAGTGGCTGGACACTCCTGTGTCCCCTCACTGTGTGTTCTCCATCCCCATTCAACTGGGGCTGTCCCAGTCACTGCCGCCCGGCCCATCGTTTCCCACCTACTGAAGTGGTTGCGTGGCATTGCACTGTGAGGGTTACAGACATGTGAGCTGTCATTGTCATGTTAACTTGTAGGGTGTTTCAGTTTCTTTTAGCAACTATTTGAAATTGTTTTTATGGGAATGACAATGGGGAATGCTCAAGTGTAAGCTATCAGTTAACTGTTAGTCAAAAAGAGGTGGGTTTTGTGAATGATTCTGAAAAAGGAGCGTGAGATTGCTTGGTGCACAAGAGGACAAATGCTGTATCCAGTGTAAGAATAAAAGAAGGAGCCATAGGTGGGAGAATAAAAGGCAAATGAAGGCAGCAGAGTTAACAGAGTAAAGGGCACATGCACAGGAAAAAGTAGGAGACAAGGGCAGAGATGTAGGTATAGCAGAGGTACAGGATATTTAACATAGCCCCCCTGGGTCCAAAGGATATCAGGACTAGCCATTGCCTCAGTTACAGAGCAAATCCTTCCAAATGCTCTGTGATGAATAAGAATAAATAATTTCTTTATTAAAAAGTTACATTACATTAAATAAAAGAAAATGAAGTTTATCAAAAGTCTTAGTAGTTACTTAGTGGAACATCATAATAACAAGACCAGTACTATACTGTCTCCACTAATATCCTCACTGGATGTGACCATATGTAGCTCTCAAGCCTTCCACATTGCAAACAGCAGCTACGGAGCCTCATCTCGAGGAGTGACAGCAGCAGACTAACAAGGCAGTAAAAGACCAAAATCCATTTTCTTAAAACAATGAATGGTAGACGAGACTTTCATCTGACACACAGTGATGGGAAATCTCACTTGAGTGACTAACACTTACTCCTGTCTCCAACCTCCATAGATCCATGAACCCACTCCAGTCAGCCAGGCTCTAGCATGAGCTGTCAAAGTGCCTGCTCAGTCCCTTCCCCTACATCCCAGTGGAAAAGTGTGTGTGTAGGGGGGGGGGGATGTTAAAGGCAAGAGAAGAGTTGTGGAGACCCTTGAAAGGTGAGGACAATACATGTGAATGTGAGGTGGAAGGAGACAAGAAGCCAGAGAAGAGACATGGTCACAGCAATGGGGGAGGGCGAAGATATTTTTGCAGTGGCGTGGTGAGTAGACTGCAGGGGAGAAAGGAAAGAGGCAGGTAGTTAGGGAGGCCAGGGTGCAGCTGTCAGGGTGAGAGATAACTAAAAGGATGAGGGGCGTGGCAATGGGGATCCTTCTAATTTCAGTAACCTTCCCATGTCCAGTGATTTAGCCATTAAGAATGTGTCACACTTTATGCCATATATACTTAAGACAATTTATTTTTCTCTACAGATTTATCATATGAACAAGCCAGAAGGTCAGCATGGACAAGTCATAGTCACCCTGCTCCTCAATCAAAAGGTTAAGCATCTGCTTACTTTCTACCATAGGGGCCTAATTCATGTCAGGGGTATCTCCTCTGGAAATAGAATTCAAACTTGAACACCTATGTTATGCTGTAGAATTCTGCGTTTGGGTATTCAAACTATTATTTGAGTGTGTGAAACTGGTACTTGGGTATCAAAGGGCTGGTCTGAGAATTTAAATAAGAATTTGGGTGTTTTAAACTTAGGCACTCAAATTTGAAAATCCACCTACAGTAGGCCTATTTTTTATATTACTCGGGAAAAGAAAAGTAGTAAGAGTTTGGATCAATGTAAAATCCTCAGCTCTACCAATAAATCAAACAGTGATATAGAGTGTAAGCACTGTAGACTCTGTAGAAAAAATAGGTTAATACTTACTGAGTAGTTGAAATGTTTTAAAAGTGATTTGAGTATTCCTTCTAAAGTTTGTTCTTTGAGGTTTTGGGTCCCATTTTCTGTTCTATGACTGCAAGCAGAGAGGAGTCTAAGGGGGAGCTCTGCCTCTGTGGAATGGTCCCCTTCCCTTCCCACTCCAAGAAATCTCCTTCATGGGGACTGTCTGGGATTCTAGCTCCACAAAGTTGGAGGGAGCAGGCCACAGCTGGACTCCTCTGGATTCTCCCCACCCCAACCTGCAGGAGAGCACAGTGCAAGCCCCTTATTGCCAGTGGATGCCATGAGATCCACAAGGAAAAAGGGGTTAAAACACTAGCTTCTTCTATTGGGGGAGAGGGAAACCACACAGACACCCCTCCTCTACCACAATGGAAGAATTCAGAGGAAACACTATCTGTAAATCATTAGAACTCATAGATTTTCCTCTCCCTTGCATGGGTTAGTCACGTCTAAGGAAGAACAGAGGCACTTCTTTGCAATTTATACAGTATATGCTCCCTCCAAAAAGTAACTTTACATGTACGTTATTTAGGAGAAATTCATTGTTTCTTCTCCACCCTACATCAGTATCTCTGACAGGAAACAACAGATATATGTCGTGTTGGAAAAGGTCAAATAGTGACAGAACTTGCCTCAAGCTGAAGACTTTCTGCTTTAGAATTTCTCATATTTGATACTGTCTTAGCAGACAAGTCCAATAAACATGTGAATATTATGCCAGATGTAATTATCAGTAACAACTATGTCCTTCCAGTAGGGCCCAAACCTGCTCTTATTGAAGTCACAGGCATGTTTGCATTTATTTTAATGGGAGCATGAATAGGTCAGATGAGGTTAACATATCAGGGCAAATCTCATAGTTGATATCACCAAGTGCTGAGCTGTTGAAGTCCAGTGAGTTGACTCTTATTGTGCCAGTGATTACTTTGGTCCACCCAATGTAAGACAGTTTTGGTGAGTGATTTTGAAACTTGAAAAAATAGATAAATGTATGAATTTTTCTATTTTCAGCTACCCAACCATCATCATCAACAGTGCCCAAAACAGAAGACCAGCGACCTCAGTTAGGTGTGTGTAACTTTATTTAAGTTGGATCTGGGTTAAATGGAGTATATTAAATGTGATCTGAAGTGCACTGTAGTCTGCCAACAAATAGCCAACTACGAGAGCAGACGCAAGCTATTAGCAGAGACCTCCTTATAGTGGCTGGGCTCATTGTAGCATCCTGCATGGTGGCTGAATTGTGTATTCATGTCTTGTGTGTACAGGTGACTCAAACTGAGACCCCCATGATTTACAAATCAAAGATTCAAGAATACAAATTAACAATTTGCAGGAAAGTTGGATGTGGTGGACCTCCAAGTAGCCAACATACTGTCACAGCTCATTGTGACTTTCTTTTAGTAATTCTTACAAGGGTCTTGTTGCCTTCAAGGGGATCATTGAGCTATTAAGCAAAGCACGCATATTCAGTTCCAGTACAAAAATGTGGAATCTAAGGATTTCAAAGGATTCTGTTCATAATGACTGGCTGGAGTATTAGCATCAGAAAAATGTACAGAAGTGAAGATTTCAGTATCTAGGAGAAATATAGATAAAACTGGAATTCTTACACACAATCCTACTACAGTTTGAAATCCTGGACTCCTGAAATACAGGACTGAAAGCTGGAAGGATTTTCACTTTGTTGGGTAACTGTCAGGAGAAAGTATCAGTTTTATCAGATTATGTTCAAAGGTGAATGAGTTTTGTGGCTGCAAAGCAATTAGTTCATTGTATGGGACAGAAACCCATAGTATTACGTTAGATTGTCCCTTGAATGAGAAAGTACATCAAAAATTCTGAGTCAGTAATGGCTTTTACTAATGGCAAAATTATAGAAATGGGAGATGAAGTACACCTGCAGGATAATCTGGATTCAGATGGACACCGATTCTGTGTTTTTTAAATGCACTTTTCATTATTCTGGATTTTGTTATAGCTAAATAAGAATATGTGCATGACTGCATTCCATTAGCTTGAATTGTTTATATGTATGTGGTTTGAGAAGTATTATTATTGCTGTTTGTCAAAATAGCATTTCTTAGTTTAATATAATCGGGCCTCCAAAGGCTTTCAAGAAATATACAGTAACTCCTCACTTAACGTTGTTGTTATGTTCCTGAAAAATGCAACTTTAAGTGAAACGATGTTAAACGAATCCAATTTTCTCATAAGATTTAATGTAAATGCGGGGGGTTAGGTTCCAAGGAAATTTTTGGGGGGCAGTCAAAAGGCATTATATACTGTACTGTACTGTACTGTGGTTGGGAAGTGCTCCTGGCTTACCCCACACAGACACAGCCCGCTGCAGGCAAGGACTCTAGGATGCACCTTCACAGCAGCAGAGGCAGTTTCCCCGGAGAAGAACAGGTGCCAACTTTGCCGGGGGATGCTCTTCCCACCCCCACTCCACCTCCTCTCCGGAGCATGCTGCATCCCCACTCCTCCTCCCCCCCACCAGAAAGTCCTAAGTGCCGCCAAACAGCTGTTTGGCGGTGCTTAGGACTTTCTGGGAGGGAGGAGGAGGAGTGGAGACGCGGCGCTTCCCCGCTCCTTCCCCACTCTCCCAGCGCTTTGCACTTAGGACTTTCTGGGAGGGAGGGGGAGGAGCGGGGAAGCACCGCGTCTCCACTCCTCCCCCTCCCTCCCAGAAAGTGACAAAGACGCAGCACTTCCCCGCTCCTCTCCCTCCCTCCCAGAGCTTCGCGCTTAGGACTTTCTTGGAGGGAAGGGGAAGAGTGAAGACGCGGCGATTCCCCGCTCTTCCCCCTCCCTCCAAGAAAGTCCTAAGCACCTGGGAAGCGCTGGGAGGGAGGGGAGGAGGCGGAAAAGAGGAACTTGTGCAATGCTCCCTTGAAAAGTTGCTGCTCTTCCACAAAATCGTACAAGCAGTGAATAGAGCAGGCAGCCAAACGACGTTATAAGGGAGCATTGCATAACTTTAAATGAGCATGTTCCCTAACTGAGCAGCGACGTAACTTTGAAACAACGTTAAGCGGGCGGACGTTAAGTGAGGAGTTACTGTATTGGTAATTTATGTAAACTTTTTGAGAACATTTAGTTGCTGTGTGCGCGCTATGATTAGTATTTTACATTTATAAAGAACGCAACCTGAGTATCCTCTTGGCTGTAAAACTGGCAGCCACCTGAGAGCAGCTGTCAAGTGGCCAGAGAGCTTAGGGCCTTGAGAAGGACTTGAAGCTCTTCTGCTGCCCTCTAGTTTTGGCTTTGGTATTTATGGAACAGAATCCCTTTTCCGTTTGTTTCTTGATTTGAACTGGGATTTTCAAAGGAGCCTAAAGGAATTCCATGCAAGAACCATTGAAATGCTATGGGAGCTGGGTGCCTAACTCCCTTTGGCTTCTTTGAAAATCCCAAGCATGGATCAAATTTTCATAGGCAATTCAACCCAACCTCCATTGCATGCATTCAGCTATGCACTTGCAAAGCACTTAATGGATGCTATTTTTGTACATTGAAGGTTTTGCTTTGCATTCGTAAATTCTGCTATTTGTTTATGCAAAAATAGTGCACAAAAACGAGTGATGTGAAACAAACTAGGTCACACAGAAATAGAGGCCACGGCCCATTAGGGCAGGATCTGTCACTTTGTTATATGTAGTGTGGGACATGGGTCATTTGCAGGTTTAAACTATTGACACGCTGTCTGATGTGGCTCAGAACTGAGTGTGTCAATCTCAAGTCAGACTGTCAGAAAACAGGGCAGACACCCCAAACTGGTGGTATGTTCTATAATAGATTTCACCAAGACAGTAATAAATGTGCATTCCTGTATTACTATATTAGTCTTACCATGGAGTCACAAACAGTTCCCTTAGGCTCTCCAGTGCATTTTGCCACCCAGACAAACTAGACTTTATGATATTGGTCAGTATGCCAAATACCACATCACATTAGGTAACTTCCTACCCCAAAGGACCAGTCATTTACCCCAAGTCAAATTGGTAGTCTGGATCTCACCAAAAACAACGCTGAAGCCAATTTCTCTAGTAAACCAACTAAAGGTTTATTAGCTAAGAAAAGAAATGAGAGTAATTGAGAGGTTAAAGCAGATAAAATTCATTAACCGGTGAGTCAAAGCTTGTAAGTCCAAAATGTTAAGAGAGTTGTAGTAATTTGCTAGATTTCCAAAAGTTCCTCAGGGTTGCCCAGTGTAATTCCGGCATCTCTGTCCACTTGTTCAGTATTCCACCCTGTTAGAATCCAAAATAGTTCAGAGATGCAGGATCATTCCCTTAAACCAGTATTTATAGATCAGTGGTTCTCAAACTTTTGTACTAGTGACCCCTTTCACATAACAAGCCTCTGAGTGTGACAATCCCTTAAAATTAAAAGGATTTTTATATATTTAACACCATTATAAATGCTGGAGGCAAAGCGGGGCTTGGGGGGGAGGCTGAGAGCTCGCAACCCCCCATGTAATCACCTTGCGACCCCCTAAGGGGTCCCAACCTCCAGTTTGAGAACCCCTGTTATAGGCCTTGGCTAACCTCGGAACTTCCCAGTGCTGCCGCGGCAGCGCTGTGAAGCGCAAGTGTAGTCGCGCCGCCAGCGCTGCAAGAGAGCTCTCGCAGCGCTGTATGTACTCCACCTCTCCGAGGGGAATAGCTCGCTTGCAGCGCTGCAGGTTCTGATTACACTGGCGCTTTACAGCGCTGTACTCGCTGCGCTCGGGGGTGGGGGGGGTTCACACCCCTGAGTGCAGCAAGTTGCAGCGCTGTACAGCGCCAGTGTAGCCAAGGCCATAGATCCTTCACCCAGAAGACAATCTGACAGGTGCCTTCACCCATGTGAGTCCTTCCTTAGAGAAAGAATAAATAATGCAGACAGTCTGTGAATTCCCATTGTTACTTAATGGCCCTGGCTTTGAAGTGAACAAGCTTCTTCATTCACAGCCATTAAGTCCTTCATTAACATATACAATGTTTCTTTGAGGAGCAACAGCAAATAACAATCTTTCATTAGTTTTCCCGAAGTTCACACCAAACATTTTAACATTAACACACACTTAAATCTAAGGTTATCTAATTATAGGGTATACATAAGATATATGTAATGTAATAGCCAAGAACTGGTTATAGATAAGTGAAGACAATAACATTAGCATTTCACTAGTTTTCATTAATTTAAAGCAAATGTAATTACCAGGGCATATGCTATGTAAATGTTTGTGATAACAACCCCCTTTGTTCTAGTCTAACAAGTGAATTGGCCTATGCCTACTAGCCCACATAATGTTTCATTGAGATTCACACAAAAGCGAATTGGCCTATGGCTCTGATTTGAGCTGGCAACTGCTAGACAGCATCACATATATTATTCTCACAGCAAAATGATTGACCAAGTATTATTATCTTATGAACTACAATTGGCTAATAACATAGTAAAAGCATCCTGATTGGTTAATAACTTAGATTGGTTAACGATTAAATCACACATTGTTTTAATATCATGTGCTGCAAAGAGATGCAGGAGTAGGGTGACCAGATGTCCCATTTTTAAAGGGACAGTCCTGTTTTTTGGGACTTTTTCTTATATAGGCGCCTATTACCTGCCTCCCCCTGTCCCGATTTTTCACAGTTGCTATCTGGTCACCCTATGCAGGAGACACATTAAAGAGCCACTTGTGGCTCGCAAACCTCAGTCTGAGTGTCACTGATTTAAAGTAAGGAAGGATGGGAAGGGGGCAACTCCTCCTTTTCTGCTAAATCTAGACGGGCCCTCGCCCTCCTCTCCTTGCTTTGGATAAGCTGCACTCCCTCAACAGCTCTTCTTTCGCCTTGGCTGGTGCCTTCCTATTTCAATGTACTTTAACCCCTGGACTTGGGCAGGGAGATCTCATGTGATACCACGCAGTTTGCAGATCCTTAGGGTGGACTGAGCATTTGTGTATGTATCCGTGACCGTTACATGTGCAAAGAGGTGTGTATGCATATTGGTGTGCACTCAATTCTGGCCATGTTTTAAAAATCTGGTCCTTTGTTTTGCCATTTAGAATTTATTCTAAAAACACTTTTCATTAAAATGAACTCAGAACACAAGAAAATAATGTTCTGAAGTAAATCAATTATCATTTTAAAACAACTGGGTGATAATTTCACTTTGTTTTTAATAGTCCTTTTGTTGGCAAACAAATGCAGAATATTGCAACTTGTTAAAAAGACTCTGAAGTAGGGTTTTTTGCCTCTTTTGTAATAACACCGGAATTTCAAAAATGATTTTATGTAATTACAACCTTTTAATTTGTTTCTTTTGTCCATATTTTTTTAGATCCATATCAGATTCTTGGACCAACCAGCAGCCGTCTTGCAAATCCAGGTGAGAAGGCGTTTTGCTGCCTGAGGGATGATTTTTCTTCAAATTTTACATTTTATCTCTATCACTTGTTACAGATTGAAGGCAAGGTTCAGCAATGCAGTGGGCATTCTCAGCTCCCATTGAAATCAATAGGAATTAATCAGTGGATGCTGATGGCACCTAGTGGATTGCAAGATTGGTAATCATATGAATAGTCTTACTGATTCAAAGAGGGTCAGTGCAAGGCATATGCAGTACTTAAGCTTTATTTTGAGGGTTTAAGTGGGATTTAAGCAGTGCATTGGACTTGCAGTGGCCCATTACACAGGGTTGAATTTCATCCAAAGAGAACAAGGCAAGTAAAATTAGTCCCATTATTAGATTAGAAAGGAAGAGAGAGAGCAGTGAATATTTGACCAGTGTCTAACGTGACAGATTTCTCCAGTGACCTAGATCCTGTCCACATAGTCAAACTGTGTTTTTTATTATTAGAAATCTATTTAATCCATTAAAAATGCTATCCAAAATATTAAATAATGGCAGTTCATTTCATTCATATGTTCTATACATGGGACCAGATCCTCAGCTGGTGAAGCTTAACATCCAGTTTACCCTCACTGAGGATCTGGCCCAGGATGTCCTCAGCTACAAAAATATTGGTTTTGAGTGGTTCATATCACAAGTAAAACCACTAAGTGAGCATTTCTTTTTGACATTGATTTTATTATTTGCAGAAATGATGGCACATACTAGACTAGACAAATACAAGAGACTTTTAAACAAATAACTTTATGAACTGACAAGCAGTAAATGGGAGCAAATGGGAAAGCAGAATCCCTTCTGCAAAGAAACATCTGGGTTAGTAGTCTCAAAGACATTCTCCCACTTGAAAAAAGCAGGCTATAGTTCCAAGAAAAATCAGAAGATTTTGTTTAAATATGGCATTCCATCCAGGAATATCTTATTGAACACAATCTGAACTATGGCCTATAATATTAAAAGGCGAGGGCGGGGGGAGAAGGTGAGGGAGCTTCCTGGTAAACTGTTATTGATATACTGTGGACCGGACTGATTTAATTGTTAATCTGACTCCACTGTAGTCAGTCTGGTTTTACAACAATATAAGTGAGATAAACTAGCAATGCATATGCCAAATACTGTTACCCCTTCTTTAGCAGCCAAAGGGTGGAATGCTCCTTTCTCTCTACTCCCTTTTCCTATTGTTAGTAAGATTTCTTTCTATAAAAATGATTGAATCATCGTGATGATTCTTTTGATGATATTGTTGTGACCTGTTTAGGTTAGGAGTATTTCAACACTAAAGGTTCTTTTTCCCTTACATTTAGCTGTATGGTATAGTTACATCAAACAAAGTTATAGTTTAGTTTGCATTTTAAGATAAAGATTTTTGTATTCCATAAAAAAACAAATGAGAATTACCGCTGTTTTCAAGAGGGCTAAGGGAGTTAGGTGTCTAAATCCCATTACAATTCATTGGAAGTTGGGCATCTAACTCCCTTAAACTCCTTTGCAAATCCCAGCGTAGCACATATAGCATCAACTGGCTTTTTGCTAGCCTTGTGCCTATGGCATTGTGAAAAGAGCTAATGTGATATGCCCTGGATAGAGATACATGTTAACATTTGAGGAAAGCCACGGGTATGGAATTTCTATAAACTATTATTCCTGCACTTTAACAAGTTTTGTGTATTTATAAAATGGTGAAATTACTCTCTCATTAAAAGGAAATTGACAGAAACCATTTATTTTCATATGACTATATATTACATTTGGAAGGCAAGTGTTTATATTAAAACATATGTTGGATTGTTTATTCAGAAATTTGTGTTTTGTCCAGTGCTGGACTGTTTATTGATTTTCAAACTCTAATCCTCTAGTTATATTTCATGCATTAAAAGTGCGTGCTTTGCTCATACCATGGATTCTTTTGTTTGTTTGTTTATTTAATCATGTTAATGGAACAGAAGAAATTCATTAAAGTACAGTTTGCAGAAATATCATTTAAAAGAATAAAAGTTTCAGTTGCACTGAAGTATAAACTGCTAATATATTTCAGATGTGACTTTAGATTGATATGATAGTCCACCCTTATAAACTTTCTTAAAAAATGCTCATTTATTAGCCCCACATATCTGCTTTTTAAAAAAAATCTAATTTTTGGACAGAGATATAGAGTACTTAGAAGTTAGCACCAAAAATCTGTTTGGCAAATTCTGCTGACATTGCGACTGCAATATACAGAGCATTGAAATCTGTTACAGAGTATCAGCGCTGCTTTGTCATAAAATACTACTTTTTTACATTAATATTGGTGGCAGGACCTATCTAACACTACTGCCAACTGTTTAAAAGGTTCGTATTTTATTTTTATAATGTTGTGTAGAGACCTACTGCAAAGTTGTCAAAAACAACACAAATTCTTTCTCTTTAAGATTTAATTTCCAAAAAAGGGAGAAATACCAGTTTTTGGAACCGTAACTTCAGCAGTCATTTTCACTCCTGTTTGACAGAGAACAATTACAAGAACTCACTTTATAGACCTTTTAATTGTTTTCTCAAATGCTGTGCAGTGCAGTCAGATGCAATGCAACAGCAATTTAATGAGTTTCCATTTTACATTTCCCTAACTATTGGAAATGGGTGATATGGTTTGGAAAAGATCCAGCTTTCTTTAAACTTCTCCATTTTGTGTAGGTTTATTCCATAATGGAGAAAATTTAGTTGCAAAATGATATTGTGCGAACAAGAAAATTATTATGCAAGTGAAAGCTATTTGTCCTGAACTTTAGAGATTAGTTTCCTATATCTGTCTTGTATTATTTCACCATCAATTTTCCAAAGTAAATGACATGAGATAATTATTAAATATGCACATAATGGCATTTTACCTGTCAAAATAGGAAAACAATACTTTAAATTATGGCCCCTGCTGTGCAGATTTTTTTAATTTTTTTTTGAGAGAGAGAGACACTAGTTAGACTGGGAGACAGGAGCAGAAGTTGCAACATTTCCTAATTAGGGATCTGTGGTGAAAATGCACTTGGATTTCATATGTGAAAGTCGGGAAGTGTTGATGTTCTAATGTTATTAGTCATTGGTTCTTCACTTTTTCCCCCCCAACCATAGGGAGTGGACAGATACAACTGTGGCAGTTTCTGCTGGAACTTCTGTCTGATAGCTCCAATTCCAATTGCATTACCTGGGAGGGCACCAATGGAGAGTTCAAGATGACTGACCCTGATGAAGTAGCCCGGCGCTGGGGAGAAAGGAAAAGCAAACCCAACATGAACTATGACAAACTCAGTCGTGCACTCCGTTACTACTATGACAAAAATATTATGACTAAAGTCCATGGTAAGCGTTATGCCTACAAGTTTGACTTCCATGGAATAGCTCAGGCCCTCCAGCCTCATCCTCCAGAGTCATCCATGTATAAGTATCCAACAGACCTACCCTACATGAGCCCCTACCATGCACACCCTCAGAAGATGAACTTTGTAGCTCCCCATCCTCCTGCTTTACCTGTAACTTCCTCCAGCTTTTTTGCTGCCCCTACTACATACTGGAATTCACCAACTGGAAGTATCTACCCTAATACTAGGCTTCCAGCCACCCATATGCCTTCTCACCTTGGCACCTACTACTAAGTAGGAAAAAAATAAGAGACACTTCTCCATGGAATATAGTACCCAATTAATTATGATGAACTATATTGGAGAACATGAATTAAAAATGCCTAAAGAGACATGAAAAAGTTTGACTTGTGGGAAAATGTCAAAAAGACTCTTTGTAGTAGGGAAAGTATTCAAGAAGTATAAAGATGCTAAAATGTAATGTATATGGGCATCGAATCTGTGGACCAAACAACAAAAGACTGTTGTAGGTAAAAGCATGAAATGATAAGGACAACCTACAAAAGAAAGTGGTCTTAAAAAGTTGATAAGCTTCTGTGTAAAGTTTGATATCTTGCTAATGCAAACTGGGACTATACTACAGCAATATAAGGATCATTCTATAGTGACCTAACATACAGTATATGAATTCATTAAAAACAAAAAACAACAAAACAAAAAAAACCCCAAACCAAAAAAAACCACCTGTATTTAAAAAAATGGAAACATATCAAAAAGACTGGTTGAGTGTGGAAGCTGATTTCGAATACAACAGCATTGTTTTTGGTTAAACTCAAAAGGCATTCCATTCATTGTAAAGGTATCAGCTATTTCAAACTGTGAAGACAACCCAAGCTTTAAGATTCCTTGACAATACTACAGGAACCCTGAGCCAAACATTGGAATTGAGAATGTGCTGGAAGGCAAGAGTATGATTGTAGATCAAGGGCCTGCATCTGATACAGGAAGTAGAAAGGAGGAAGAGGAGGACGAAGATGAGAATGGGAGAAAAGAAACTTCTTTACCAGTAGATATTGAAGAGACTGAAAACTTGGTAGTGTTGGGACTATAAAGAATTACTTGTTTGGATTTGAGAAATATTTTGATCAGTATTATACCATTCCCAGTATTATAGAAGGAATAGACTTGATTTTTTTTTAAAGTGGAGAAAGGGAAAAGCAGTAGAATTCAGAAATCAGAATATGCATCTCTTTAAAAAATGTAAAACTGGAATTGTCTGATATTTAAAAGTAACATTTAGGACCTCCTCATTATTAAGGGAGTTTGTTTTCTACTGGTTTAAGGTAAGAGACAACCCCCAACTGCCAAAATCAGATATCATGTAAGTATTTTTGTGAGGCGGGCGCCAGTTTTTCTTTTTCGAGTCGCGAACGCTGTGCGTTTGTCAGAATGAAGTATACAAGTCAATGTTATTTTTTTCCTTTTTATATAATAATTATATAACTTATGCATTTATACACTACGAGTTGATCTCGGCCAACCAAAGACACAAAAAAGGGACAATCAAAAATATTGTGGCCTTGAATTTTAACTCTGTATGCTTAATGTTTACATTATGAACTTATTAGTACTTAGAATGCAGAATGTATGTAATAAAATAAGCTTGGCCTAGCATGGCAATTCAGATTTACACTGTAGTCTGTATTTGCATTTGTAGTGACCAAGATGCCTATTAGATCTTCTTCCTAAATGGTTTAAATATTTTAAAATATTCTGTTTTAATTTTTTTTATTTATTTATGAATTTTAGCAATCATGAAAATGAGGGACAAATCCACACAGTTCTGTTAATACACCTGAATTCTGCCCTACAGCACCTCTGTTGTTTCTGTCCTGAGATTCTCTTGAGTGGAGATTGTCAACTGTGCCAAATTTTTTGATGGCTTTGTGGCCAAACATGAAAATTAAGTCTAGAACTGGGGGAAGACTGTGATCCAGAAATTCTTTTTCATCATCATATGAGAAATCCCAGCCTACGTCTTACTACTATATTAGAGTTTGTTTAACTATCATACAATCTTGCTATTAACACATAACCACTCCAGAGGTGATCCCAGCAATTACAGGCCGGTAAGCCTGACTTCAGTACTGAGTAAACTGGTTGAAACTATAATAAAGAACAATATTGTCAGACATATAGATGAACATAATATGTTGGGGAAGAGTCAATATGGTTTTTGTGAAGGGAAATCATGCCTCACCAATCTACTAGAATTCTTTGAGGGGGCCAACAAGCATGTGGACAAGGGGGATCCAGTGAATACAGTGTACTTAGATTTTCAGAAAGCCTTTGACAAGGTCCCTCACCAAAAGTTCTTAAGCAAAGTAAGTTGTCATGGAATAAGAGGGAAGGTCCTCTCATGGATTGGTAACTGGTTAAAAGATATGTATAAATGGTCAGTTTTCAGAATGAAGAGAGGTAAATAGCGGTGTCCCCCAGGGGTCTGTACTGGGATCAGTCCTATTCAACATATTCATAGATGATCTGGAAAAAAGGATAAATAGTGAGGTGGCAAAATTTGCAGATGATACAAAACTACTCAAGATAGTTAAGGCCAGGCAGACTGCAAAGAGCTACAAAAGGATCTCTCAAAACCGTGTGACTGGGCAAAAAAATGGCAGATGAAATTCAATGTTGATAAATGCAAAGTAATTCACATTGGAAAACATAATCCAAATTATACATATAAAATGACGGGATCTAAATTAGCTGTTACCACTCAAGAAAGAGATCTTGGAGTCATTGTGGATAGTTCTCTGAAAACATCCACTCAATGTGCAGCAACAGTCAAAAAAGTGAACAGAATGTTGGGAATCATTAAGAAAGGGATAGATAATAAGACAGAAAATATCTTATTGCCTGTATGTAAATCCATGGTACGCCCATACCTTGAATACTGCGTGCAGATGTGGTCACCCCATCTCAAAAAAGATATATTGGAATTGGAAAGGGTTCAGAAAAACAAAAATTATTAGGGGTATGGGACGGCTTCTCAGCTTGGAAAAGAGATGACTAAGGGGGGAGGTATGATTGAGGTCTATAAAATCATGACTGGTGTAGAGAAAGTAAATAAGGAAGTGCTATTTACTCCTTCTCATAACACAAGAACTAGGGGTCACCAAATGAAATTAATAAGAAGCAGATTTAAAACAAACAAAAGGAAATATTTCTTCACACAACACACAGTCAACTGGTGGAACTCTTTGCCAGAGGATGTTGTGAAGGCCAAGACTATAACAGGGTTAAAAATAAAACTAGATAAATTCATGGAGGATAGGTCCATCAATGTCTGTTAGCCAGGATGGGCAGGGATGGTGTCCCTAGCCTCTGTTTGCCAGAAGCTCGGAATGGGCGACAGTGGATGGATCACTTGATGTTTGCCTGATTCCCTCTGGGGCACCTGGCATTGGCCACTGTTGGAAGACCGGATACTGGCTAGATGGGCCTTTGGTCTGACCCAGTATGGCCGTTGTTATGTTGATATTAGTAAATAAAATGAAGAATGAATAACTTCCATTATTCCTCACTTTAAAACTGAGCGAATGATAGCTTCTCAGTTTGTCATTACAATCCATCTTTAGTGTTTACACTGGGTAGAATATTTTCTTTGTATTCTAGATTCAGAGTATTTCCACACTGTATATGGGGCCCAGATCCACATTTAGTATATAATGGCATAACTCCATTTTTTACACCAACTGAGGAGCTGGCCTTGTCCTTTAGGAATGGCTCTCCACAGCAAGCAGTGTTTATTGTGAAGAATACATACAATTAAGACTTCAAATAATGTCCCCTTCTTTGCTTTTCTTCTGAACCATTTAGTTAGATGGGTATGGTTTCATATTTTATTGTGAATATTTTGTATAGCCATTTTTCATTTTGATCATCCTTGCAATGCAACAAGAACTTAGTTGCCAGACCTCCATGTTCTGGATATCTTGGCAATAGTCTGTAAATGTCGGATTACATTTAAGACTTTGAGCATTACTCAGATTGAAAGCAACAGCACAATCAGTCATACAGTAGTAGCTGGAAAAGATCCATTCAGAGCATGCAGCTCTTAAAAAAAGAAAAACTAACTGAAAGGTTACAAGAACTATGCTACTGGAAAAGGTTAGTCACTTGCTATTTTAGAAAGTCAAGCCAGGCACACCTACCTTCTGAATATAATAATAATAGTCTGCTTTTCTGTGGAAACTCATTTCTACAAATGTCTGATATTACATTGTGCACACTACAGTAAAAAAATGTTTATTATTGAACCACCTTTTAATTAAGCATTTTTAAAATCCAAATAAAACAGCAGATGTATTTAAAGAAATCATCTGGAAGGGGCATAGGAGTATTCACAATAGTGCCCATAGAGTTTTAGAATATATCTCCTCGCTGCTCTTATCTGCAACAGGAACGATGGGTCTAATGCCTCCATTTTGACCCTGGCAGAGATTGCTTGGATCAAGATGAAGTATCGCGTCACAGGTTGGAACCTGTGGCCAGTGTAGGCTGCACCTCTTAACAATTAAGAGCAAAATCCTTGGGTGTGCCATCCCTGGGGATCCTGCTTGTAAAGCCAGTTGAACTGGCCATAGGAAGCTTGCTTCAGTGTAGGAGCGATGCCACCTCTCTGTCTCTGCTACTGGTGTAAGTGATGTGGCCAGAGGGTAAGGAGTGTGGCCAGGAGTATGACCAGGACATTCAGTGGATGATTCCTAAATGCCAGTTCAGCCCACGGCACAGATGGTTCCAATTACCAACTTCTAAGAGTTTCCTCAGCAACCTTTACATTCTTTTTCTGTGTCTAGCATATTCCACCATTTGGATCCTGCAGATCTTCTTAGCCTCAAGCCCTAGATTCTTTGTATATTCTGCATGGAGACAAAAGGACTCAGTAATTTTGAGTGAGTGCTGAACATTCCTTGCTCAGTTCATATTGTGCTAAAACTCTTACAATAAGGCTTAAATTGTGCAAACGTCTAAACAGAGAAACAAAACCTAAACTTTAAATGAGCCTTTGTATATTTTACACCTTTCTTTTCATTCTAACACAGGGTGAATTTGAAACAAGAATCTTCCAGGCGCCGCCTACAAAATAAACTCAGGTCACATTAGTTGCCAAATGAGGTGCTCCTCATAGCAGATTGTGTAGATATTCAAAATATGATCATGTATGCTCTCTGGGCTCCATTCTGCCAGATTCCTTGACCTGGGCTCCTTCTTGATCAGGAGGAGGGGGAAAGTGGTGGCATTCTCCCAAATGCCAACTACTTGTGGCACCAAACTGATCCATCACTCACAGTAGATTGTGCAGATCTGCTTTTTTACCTGCTTTTATGAGGAATGAAATCATTTAAAATGTTGACATTTATCATCACTGGTCCTCTGCATTAACCACTCTCTCTGAGTAATGGGACGGTTCACACCTCTCAATACTATTGTTATCTACTGCTCATCTTGCTCACCTGTATGAGAAGCTGCTTGAGGACACAGAGGTGATATGATTTGTAGTGTTTTCAGTAAGCAGATGATGCTCTTATCCCCACGTGTGATGTCCCCATGTCATCAAACTGGAATTTTGCAGTTCAGAGGCTCTCAGAGTTTAGCCAAAATGGGGATTTTAATAAAAGCTGGCAGAATGAGTTACCGTCAGGGAAAGATAAATAATGCAGTTAGGCTAGCAGAAACACTTGGTGGAAATGGTGCAGGTAATACACGATCCTGATAAAGGGAGTTTTGTCTGCCTTTTGTCACTTAGGTTTGCAATTTCAGGGGCTAGTTGAATTCTTGGCAGCTCCTAGTTGCTCAAATTCAGAAGTGTCCAAGAGCACTTGGTCATCTCTGCTTAGCTAAGAGATTGCATCCTTTCTTTCAGGAGGAGGATCTCACCCCAGTTCTCCATGCATTTGTCACCTACAGACTGGATTACTGCATTGCTTTCTCTTTGAGCTATAGGAGAAGGCCACTCCAAAACTTCAGCTACGACGGAACACAACTGCCTACATGCTCTGCAGGGCTTCTCACAGGAAGCACATTACACTTTGCTGAAGACTACATTGGCCTCCATTTCATTTTTAAATGCACGTTTTCATGTATGTAAAGTACTTAAGTAGTTAGTCTCTTGTATGTCTTGGGAACTGGCACTGCCTTAATTATATACAAGGTGGTTGAGAGCATCTGAGGTGCTGGAACTTACAACCTCCAGAGTTAAACAGGAGAGGAGTTACTCTCACTTACGCACGGCAGTCTCAGTATAGGACCTTGCGCTCTGGAATTCACCCCTCCTATTCTCACAGGGTATGTCTCCACTGCGATAAAAAGCCCTCGGCACTGAGCCTTAGAGCCCAGGTCAGCTGACCCAGGCTCAGACCCATAGAGTTTAAGTGTGTTGACTATCAGAAAATGTTGCCAAGATTACTTATTAATTCGTGCTTTCTCTGAGGGGTGCATTGAGTGAGGATTTTGAGGGGAAGGCATTGAGGCAAAGATTGGGGAAGGTTTGTTAATGGGGCCAGTAGGCCAACTGGAAAATTGCCTGTTTTAAAATGACTTGTACATTTCCCCCATCTTTGGAAAGGTGCATTTTAAAAATCCAAATATTAAAAAAACCCGACCAGCTTGATTTTTTAATTACGC